CGTACTTATAATATAAATAATTCTGTGACTGCATCCTACATTAATTTGTAAGATCCTCTACGATAGATAAGTCAACATTGTTAGGTTGATTTTCTAGGCATTTTATTTATATATATAAAAACCTTAAATGGATCTACGTAAACACATTTGATTTATCTCTCTTTACCATTATTGTAACGTAATGAACGTTACCAACGGTAGTGTCGTCAAGGACATTGTTAAATCGTCGCCTGAAGATTGACAGAAGGCATGAAAGCGCTAGTGACATTATTTTAACGAACTGTTATTATTTGTGAGAAATGTAGTCTGCGGATTTTAAATTTTGATTTATATATATAAAGTAGCATGAGTTCTCATCCCGGCTAGGGAAGAACAAAAAAATTTGCTTCCGCAAATTTACAGATCTAACATTGTTGGGCTGATATTTAGACGAATTATATATATATATGTAAAACAAGTCAAAAAGGGTACAACATTACCAAAAAATAATAACATAATGAACAAATGTTAAATATTTCGGATAACAGATATCCTTCAGCAGTATGATTATGATGTAAAATGAATCATATCAATCTATTCTGATTATAAAACTATAACAATCTTGAAATTTATACAATAAAACAGTCAAACCCGAACATCATAGAGACGCTTGTACAATTCTAAAATTTATTAAACATGACGTAGGTTATATAGCTATTTACAACAGAGACTGCAAAGATATGCTTCAAACAAAAAAAGTAATGTGCGATATGAACTGGTACAACACTAAAATTTCAAAGGTGACGACAGTTAAGATGTTACAACAACGATTGCGTGGAAATACATTCTCAATAAACAGCACTGCCCGACCTAAGCTGGTACAATATTTCAAATTTGACAACGGTAAAGTAATTAAATCAGAGGCTACGTATTTATACATCCCAAATAAATAGCAGTTTGATAATGATTAAAAAAATAATAATAAATTTTGACTAAGGTTAAATAAGCACGAGGAACTTAACATTTTGATCATTTAAAAATAGCAAGCATGCATTTATCAGTGGAATGGTCATGCGTTTGCCAACAAATACTGAATACCCAAACATTTACTTGCCTCTCCACTGGGTCTGTGTACACTATATTTTATAATGTAACTTGCAAAACCCAGAATTTTTATACCTTCTTCAGTGTCGATTCGGCACACAGTATGTTGGCGAGACAGAACAGTCATTCAACAAACGCATGAATGGTCATCGAAGTGACTACAACTGCAAGCCCGACCTCCCCGTAAGTCGTCATTTGAGATCACCTGGGCACGCCCAAGCTGATCTCAAAAACCTTACCATCACAATCATAGACCACAACAAGGGTTGGTCAAAGGCCGACAGACTTGCTAGGGAAAGGTTTTGGATAAGAAAGCTAAGGACAGTCTCCACAGAGGGCATAAATGAAAAAAAAAACATAGAATGAGTCACTCATTTCCCCTACAATTACGCATTTTCCTACCATCACTTGTTTCCAGTAACTCAGACTTTCGTACTGGACTCTTACAGATTTAAGGAATTTTTTAATTATACCAGTTTAAATTACAGGGTTCTATTCATTTGGGAGGGTGTACAAGTACGCAGTCACGTTCAATTATTAAACCTTTTATCATTTTTTTTAATCATTACCAAACTGCTATTTATTTGGAATGTTTAACTACGCAGCCTCGGTTTTAATTACTCTACCGTTGTCAAATTTGAAATATTATGTTTCATCTCTATGATGTTCCGGTTTGACTGTTTTATTGTATAAATTTCAAGATTGTTATAGTTTTATAATCAGAATAGATTGATATGATTCATTTTACATCATAATCATACTGCTGAAGGATATCTGTTATCCGAAATATTTAACATTTGTACATTTTGTTTTTATTTTTGGTGATGTTGTACCCTTTTAGACTTGTTATATATCATATGTTGTAGTGTACTGTATCATAATTATATGATCCATCGCCCCGTTAGATTTGTTGTTGGCTATTATTCAGTCATTTTATATATATATAGATCCGATTTCACCTGGATAGATGCACGCTTGATAAAGCTAGTTAGTCTAGCGAAATATTGCGTTTATTTTCATCATTTTGTAAATATTTTAAACATTCTTATATTTACATACTAAATAGTGTGTTAAAATTACATTGTTAGGCAATCTATATATATATATATATATATATATATATATATATTTATATATATATACATATAATAATAATATGTTGAACAAAGGTAAATTAAAGCAATGTAATTGGACAAGGGGTTAATACATGAGAAGAACATAAGCTCAATGATAAGTAAAAAAGTAATATTCGCATTGTACATGTTGTAGGACATTCCCACAAAAATTATTATTGGTCTATTTCTATTATAATCAATTTCATGTTTGCTACTTTCATTTATCCGACACTTACCTGTTCTGTCCCAGTTTTCTGAATGACTTTGACCAATTTTGATTTTGACGTTTTTGATACACTGAAAAAAAATTTTGACATTTTTTAAGTACATATCTTATATACAGCCGTGCTTGTTGTGGAAAATACGTCCAACGAATGCATATTAAAATGTAGAAGTACATCGCAAATGACACCGAAAGCATTAAAACAGAAAGTTGATTCGAACTGTAGAAACATTTGCAGGATGATATCATTAGGTACACAGCAATAACCTTCAATTTGTATTATGCCTTGATGTATATGTATATTTTCTAAGTTTAAGATTTAGTGACGACATTTATAAAGAAGATAGGGTATTAAATGCATCAAATATGTTTTTACATATAAATGCTGATAACGATTTGTTTTTTTTTAATGTATTTAAAAGTCTGTGTTATCTGATACCTTGCAATACAACCTTTTCCCCCCAAAAAAGTCATCTTCATAAGTACACTAACACTCAAAATTATAACGATTATAAAGCATTTTGAATGCACATTCGAATCAGGATAGCACAATCACGACCAGTAAGAAAATTTGTTTTAATTACATTAATTCTTCATAGCCGGCACACAGTGATTTAGATATAACGACCTGTGTTTTTTATGTCTTGTTTTTCCTGGTAACATTGACTTTATTCATGTTTTGTTGCGGCAAATACCTTCTGATTGGTGGGGGGAAAGGGCAGTTTCACATTTTTCTGCCATTTTAAATGTGAGCGTAAACGGCCCATGAACATTCCTTGGATTAAAAAAAATAAAACTAATTCGTAGGAAGAAACGACGCTCATTTTGATAAATTAAATCCAGTCAGAAAACAAAATCATACCATAATACAAACGCACTCATTTTAGTAATTTAAGATGAAAAAGATGATCAAAAATGTTAAATGTGTTTGTATTGTAAATTAGTCTCATATTTTGATGGATCAGATGTTGTTTGTCATTTTTTATGATTAAAGAACCTTATTGATATATACCCGTGAAAATTCAATACATTATTTATTTTAAATTTCCAGGTTTAGTATTACCGTTAGAATAATAAAAAATGCTGATCTTTGGCAGACATGTCCTGAAAAAAATAAGCTGTTAACATTTTCAGTGGTTTAAGTTTACGACTATACGTTAGAAGGTTTATTCAAAAAGGTAATTATTAACCATCATATTTATTTTTGTTTTGCATGCGCAACTTTGCCACATATCTTTTGAAAATAGATAAAAATTTCAGGGGTAAAATAAAGTTGTACTGCAAACTATATTTTTTCATCAGGCATTTATTAAAAATGACTCAAGTGTTAAGATAAAAACCTATGTCAAAGTAAAACAAATATAACATATACTTAGAGCCAACTAATTCAATTACTCAAGAATAATGAATCTGAACTTGCGTTTAACTAAGAGAAGGTGTTACTCGTCAACAACCTTCATACGCAGTCAAGGAAACCCAAGAGCGGTTATTAAGGTAGCCAAAATGTCTTCCTCCATCTTGAATTTTGAAAAAGCAGATAACAATCGGTCTAGATCTTTAACGAAATGTGCTAACTTCGAGAGTAGTTTGTAATTCATATGTAAGACTGTTCATGTTAATATAAAAAGTGTTTTATCATAATAACGGCTGTATTTTACAAAAAATAAACCAGAATATTTTTGTTTGATTCAATTTTTTTCCAACTTTGCCACAATAGGGGATATAACTCAAATATAAGGGAAGATAACTCAAATCAAATAATTTTAATAATAGAAAGTGTTGTGAACTACCTATTTTATTATCTTGCAAGAAAACGAGTCCGGTGACCCCTTTGTTTTCCTTTTCATATCTGAAATCATATTATTAGAGCTATCTTCTCATATTTTATCGTAAAATTCTATTGTGTAGTTTTCTTTTGATCACACAAAATTGGATTTTCTATACAAAATCTGACTATTTTGCCTACCTGTAAAAAAAGCCCAGTGACTCATACTTCTTATTATATCTTTTCAAAATAAGCATGATACAAACTACATTTTGACCAAATATTAAAATAATCTATGGATTTTAATTTAGACCCCCATCTACCTTTAATATCAAAGTAAATTAATATTTGTGTGAGCTACTTTTATTCAGATTTGTCATTACAAACAAGTAAACATTTTAATATTATTAAATAAATATACTAGTATATATATAAAAATGAGAATGTAAATGGGGAATGTGTCAAAGAGACAAAAACCCAACCAAAGAGAAAAAACAGCCAAAAGCCACCAATATATATATGCGACCAACCTTTCAGTTCTTTCCACAATTTCACATAATATTTTCACATCCAAGTTCACTATCTGTATGTTTGGTCTACCAGTTTTGCTTTTGATCTTCAATCCATCAATGTACGATTTTAAATTGATTTCCAATCGACCACCACTTATAACAGTATTTAGTTTTTCACGTTCATGCCTTCCATGAAAGTCACACTGCATTGTAATTGACTGATTTTCATTGCAAATGATATTTGTTTTGCATATTGTAATCTCTTCCTTGGCAAGTATTGACGAAACATGATTAATAAATACATCATTTTCTGTAATTCTTTCATATAAAGCTCTAGCTATGCACTTTTCCTCCGGAAAATCTTGTAAGGGATCTTCCTGAGGTGTGAAGGACAGCTTTAAAACTGCAAAACAAATATATTAACTATCAGTCAGTGTTTTGTTTTTCATCTTCCAGATAAAACTCATCAAGGAAACCAGACTTACAACTTGATACGCCATATGCACATTTGATCTTCGTAAGATTCATCAGTGGCGCTCTATTCAACAGTTGGAAGGCAAAATTGATCTTCAGAGTTGAAGAGCATCACAAACATAATTCCGAAAAATGAACCAAATAATCTTTTGCTACCTATGCCTGGGCCAGAAAAAAACAAAACTTATATAATGTTTACCGTTTTTCGATGCTTAATTTAGACAGTGAACAAATCAATGATATTCCAGTCAACTCAAACATGCTGACTTCCAGAACTGAATGAAGCTATAAACAAATCATACACATCTAAGAATTTCCATCTTTGCTTTGAAACATATATAAGTATTTAATATGGCTTATGTTCTTCTATTTTATTTTATGATGGCATGATACTAAGACATAATCTTTCGATAAGTTCAATATAAGTTCGGAGCTGGCATGTCAGTAACTGTTAGTAGTCCTTTGTTAATTTATGTCGATCATTGTCATTTTGCTTAGTTTCTTCTTTTACATTTTCTAACATCGGACTCGGACTTCTATTAAATTAAGTTTTTTTTGTTTATTCTACATTACCTAGGGGTATAGGAGATGGGTTGCGATCTCACAAAACATGTTTAAACCTGCCAAATGTTTGCGCCTGTCTCAAGTCAGCAATATCTGGCCTTTGTTAGTCTTGTGTGTGTGTTTTTTTTTTAAATTTTGGTTCATTTATGTTTCTCTGAACTAGTACACATTTTTATTAAGGGGCCAGCTTAAACCCGACTCCGGTTGTGGGATTTTCTCGCTGTGTTGAAGACCCATTAGTGGCTTTGGGCTGTTTTCTGCTCTTTGGTCGGGTTGATGTCTTTTTGAGACATTTTCCATTTCCGTTCTCAATTTTATTTTCACGACTTACAAGTAGAATAACCTGAAACTGTAAAGCAGTATGAAATCATAATACCCTTTAACTGAGATTGTGTATCTTAAAATGTTTGATCGATTTTCTAAGAAGATTGCGAACTTTCTTTAACATTATGTCTAAACTACCCCGGCAAAAAATGTTTGTACTCTATGGTATCTAATAATCGGCACGGTGACGGAACACCAATAGACAAAGAAAAGGTAAGTTTCTCTTTATTCATTTATTTTTATGATATCGAAGAATATATATACATATATAACTATTTTCTATTGTGAGATTATTTCCTACAACCGTTCTAGATTAACGGAGAAATAAGTAAAAATGCACGCCAATATGATGAATTTAGTCAACTTTTCTTGAATTTGTTTAATTTCTCATTAAATTAATCACATTGTACGGAAAGAAAGATATTGACATGGAGATTGCAAAACTAGTCCCTTTGAGCGCCTCAATACTTGTATTTTTGTGTATAATACGAAAGAAATGGGTCATGTCAAAATTGAAGGACCCGGTTTTGTCAATGTGTACAACCCGGTTTTGTCCTAGATTTCACATGGCAGAACCCTGTTTTGTCAAAGGAAAAACATGCATAGTTGCATAACATAAAGAACTTCAGTGTTTAACATGTTTAAAAGGAGTTTAATGGCTCGTTGAAAAACGATTTCCTTCAGAGGACAACTTATTATTTATTTGAATCTGTAAACACTTGAATTCCTATATATGAATTATTTAAATTTGAGTGTTTAAACTTGGAATAAGAGTTTACGGTCTTAAAAATTGAAGGACGCACAATATACGATTTTCTTGCACAACAGGATGTTTATCTTTATAAGTAATCCAATCTACCTAGGGTGTAATCTTTCCTATGATCTTTTAAAACAAATCTTCTAAAGGCTAAATGTTCATTATAAGGCATGATAATAAGACAAATGTGTATATGCATGCAGAATTGCCGTAGAAAATGAATGGTTATGGGGAGAAAAGGATTACAATAATCATGCATTAAAAATCAAATCTATGTATCCCTAATTGAAACTATAATACTAAGTTTTAATTAGTATAATAGTCTCGGACCATCGAGAAAATGCAATAATGATTATTTTATTAATAGTTGTATAATTAAACGGTTCTGTGTTCTCTCCATTGTGTTATGATTATCGTGCATTGACGTTGGTCAATGTATTATTGACAATATATAGGGACGGATTAGGGTTTTTTCAAAGTGGGCGTAATACAAACATTTTACATACCGCAGAGCGTAGCGAAGAAAATATTTTTTCCCGGATAAATGCTTTAAACACGTGCTCCTTATGAGATCTATTTCTGTGCAAATATAGAAAAGAATTCGTTGGTTTGGATTGATGCAAACATATATAATTCACAAACAGCATATATCATACAAACTTGATAATTTCTTATCAGAAGGAATCTATATAATCGCTTTATAAACATAATTATAAATTATGTGATAAAATAATTGTAGGACATTAGTTAAACTAATATGATCAACATGGTTCCGTACATGAACCTTGCATTGTTTTATGGGAAAAAAAAGACAGGAATTGTGTGAAGATGAAGAGGGAAGCCGTGGACGTTGGGTTTCGCTATATTTTAATTGTTTATTTTCAAGAGACTTGAATTTTTTTCCAATAAAGATCAAATATGTCTTACTTTCTTGTGCTTTATCTTGGACCATCAAAAAACAAGTGCAAGTCAACTTTTAAAATGCTTACAAACTCTATAGGTTGCACTTTGCAAATGCAACTGTTTCACAAGCCACGCTTCTTTTGGGGAGATATATAATATTCATAGATATGTTAATTTGTTAACATACTGGTTCACAGATATGATCTATATGTTTCATCTCATAAATACATAACTTGGGAATGTTACCAGTATAGAAAAACATGGTAGCGCCTAGAATTTAATTCTAAGGAGGACCAAAAGTGGAGGTAGGGGTAGTATGGAATTTTAGTATAAGTCTAAACTCTTAGAAGGTCAGGGCATATAAATGTTGAAAATATGCCGCACAGCCCTATATTTTGACATTTGAATAAAATAGTAGTGCATATCAACTTTCCGTTCTGGGATATAATTTTTCACGAAACTTCATAGTAAAAGTGGCACAGTTTTAGCCGCAAAGGGAGTTTCCATGGGAAATTGCATTGTCCATATTTACAGAATTGCAACCTGAAAGCTTTTTTCTCTATTCCATTATTTATTGTACACTAAAAGTAATATATATATGACACATAAAGGAATATCAATATACTCACAGCACTGACTATCTCCTTTCTCCTTGTCAACATCTGATGCCATGTCTAAAAACAGATAACACATAACACGTAAAGTATCATTGGTTTCATGTATTTTTATATTTTTTAATTTATTCTTATATATACTGCCTGGGTGATTGCAGATTAAACTAGAGATTAAAATCATTTAAACAGAATGTTTTAATGTATTAATGATTCAGAAAACATTTGCTTCTGATCTAGATCTGACCTATGTACTGAACCACTCTGTTTCTCTGTATCTGGGTGTCAGTAATTCCATCAGACCACCCAAAGAATATAATAATAACAAGATTCTTATGTTATAATGACAGGTTGATATACTCACATAACTGACGGACAAGGGTAAAATTATATGGCTCCGACAGCTTTGTGGCGTTGTAAAAAAAATTGTGATTGTTGTCAATATTTGTCCTGACCTTTAAATGGTTTAAATCTTCTAGATTATATAGTAACAATACTGAACAATTGTTTTCAACATGGTTAATATATGACCAAAACATTGGCTGTAAAAAGTAAAATCACAAAAATACTGAACTCCGAGGAAACTTCAAAAAGGAAAGTCCCTAATCAAATGGCAAAATCAAAAGCTCAAACACATCAAACGAATGGATATAACATATATTCCTAGTCATATTCCTGACTTGATACAGACATTTTCTTATGTAGAAAATGGTGGATTGAACCTAGTTTTATAGCTAGCTAAACCTCCCACTTGTATGACAGTCGCATTAAATTCCATTATATTGACAAGGATGCGTGAACAAAACAAACAGACACAATAGGTAAAAATGTCAAAAATAAGGGTACAGCAGTCAACATTGTGGTATCATCTTAATCACTATAAAACAAACAAATGTAACAAAGAAGCACATAAGGCATACATCAAATTTTACATTCTCATTTTGCTCTTTTATTATTACGATTTTATTTATCTATGTAAAATCCACCCATAAAGGATGGAAGGTTTTAAGTACTGGCGTAGAATCGCGCGTTTGACGTTACACAGGTAGATATAAAATAATTTTGTCGTTCAAAATATGACGGGAAACATAAGTACAGAGTCACGTCAAATGGATATCACAAAAAAACAGACTTAACAATAAAGTAATATTAATAAAATTAAATAATTTTGTCGTTCAAAGAATGACGGGATACATAAGTACAGAGTCACGTCAAATGGATATCACAAAAAACAGACTTAACAGTAAAATTAATATTAATAAATTTAAGACAAATAAAAGAATACTATAACACGTTATTAAGATGATAACAACGTCAGTACGCAGAATCTATACTTCAAGACCATCGTGTATTATTTGTGAAGTTGATACGTAATATTTATCAACATGGTCTTGGTTCACTTCCGATGAACTTTTTTAGAAAAAGGACGAGACGTTCTTTGACATACACCTGGTTCATCAACCTTCTGCTCAGACACTGGTGACGTTTTACAAAGTCTGAGTAGGATCTGCAAGCTCTTGAATACCGAATAAGTTGGGAAATGTATATCCCATATGCAGGTGAAGTTGGTATATTGCTACTAAGGTGGGGGGAATTGATAATTTCAAAATTAAAATCGTCTCGTTTGGCATAGATTCTGGTACTGAGATGACTGTGTATGTCAAATTCTAGGTATAAGTCTAAAAATGAGGCGGAGGAATCCGTGTCTGTTGTTTCTTTAATTTCTAGTTCTGGGGGATATATGTGAATGTCTCGTGAATGGAGATATTAAGACATGGAGGCTGTAGAAAGACGATATATGCTATTTAGCACTGTTATTTTCACTTGAATAGCTTTGGTCAGTATCACTTCAAAATACAATGTCTGTTGCTTTATAAATATCTTGAAATGAAGGCATTTTACTCATTGAATTTTGCAATGGAGGAATTTGATCAAGAAATGAAAATCAACTTAGACATCAACTTGAAACGGGTTCATACAGATAGCATATTAGCTACTAAAATGATTGAAACAGCTTACTTTATATTTGTTTTACATAGATAGAAATGTTTGGATTTCACTGGATCATTTCCTAGATATTACAATGTACTCTTAATTTTGATGCTAAGAGCAGAGAAATGTTCAGTATATCAGAAGAATCATTAGGTCCCACAAGCTTTGCGTTATTCACTACTTTATAAAACTTAGAAGATGTAGTAAAGATTTTAATGAGACAGATATTCACCAGCGACCAAATAAGTGGATATAAGCAAACATAGGTCACCATACGGTTTTCAACCATTAGCGTAACAAATACTGTATAGAAATCTATAAAAGGCCCAGACATGACAAAATGTAAAACAATTCAATCGAGAAAACAAACGGTCTGATTACTTACAAAAAAATAAACGAAAAACAAACATAACCGACAGCAACCACCTACATTATCTGAATGATATTTTCCTGACTTGAGACAGGCAAATACAAAATGTGTCTGTGATGCTCAATCCTCTTCCTAAATAAGAACAGGGGTGTAAAAGCACAACATAAGACTAGACTGTGAACTCTTGATCTTTAATTTACTGTGTAATGTTTTATGGAATGATGTGTGATGTTCAACCTTTATTTTTCATTTTGGCCGTTCTGATGTCTCTGTTTCAATGTCAAATGATTTTTTTTTTATATTTACTTTCGATCTTCTCATTTCTTTTCAGCAAGTTTGAACTAATTAGCAATGTCGATGTCCATTAGATTGTCTTGTTCATACTTTTCTGCCGACAGTTTATTAGTTGTGTTTTTTTTTTTTTGCAAATAAAATCAAAATGGTCACCTAATTGAACACAGTGACACAAAGAAATAGAAGCTGTGCACTTACTAGGACCGTTGCATGAGGATTTTTTTTTTGCCAAACCTATATATAATATATCTACCACAGTGAAACAAAATAAAGCCATGCAAACGATATGAATATTCATATACACCTTCGAAGAAATCATACCAAACATTAACATCCAAATGAGGCACCTAGGGTTTTCTTTTACCAATTTTGAATTCGGATGCTTATCCAAAAACAAACATTGTCACTAAAGTAGAAAAGAAGATTACCGTAGCTGTGTTTGATAAAACCTTTCAGAATTTTTAATCCTTAATGCTATTTAACTTTGTACTTTATTTTGGTTTTTCTACGTTTATGATTCGAGCGCCATTTTAGAGTCTTTTGAAGACGAAACATGTGTCGGACGTACAAACACATAAGCCTTGAGTCTTATTTTTACGATACAATTAGTTTGGAAAGCCATATGAATACAAAAAAAAGTAAATTTTACATAACAGTGACAATATCGAAAATTTTACATATTTTTAGTATTTTCTCTTCTTACCTATTATCATTTAAAAGCATTGGTCCATTAGAATTAGATTATGTTGTTCGCACATTCTTTAACGAATCAAGCAGATTACACTTAATTGTTTAAGAACCACTACCTGAATCCGTATTAAATAATATAAAATGGAGACCACCTTCATACTGTTGATTTTAATAAACATCTGTAACAAAAGTAAAATAAACTTAGGTGAAATTTAAAAAACCTAAAATTTGAAACTGATACTATAAATCAGAAGAGCATTAGTTAAGGAACAAAATAAGCTGATAATATTGACAGTTTATGGAACACTTTATGGAGATATTTGAAAAAGGCTGGATCGGACTTTTACCTTATATTTAGTATAGTAATGATTTTCAAATCGTAACAAAAAAATCGAGATTCTGCTTTAAATTTTGAAATGACTTTTTTATGAGCTATTGAAGTCTTCTATAAAAGAAAAGTGGGTGATATGAGGCAAATTATTTTATCCTGTATCGTAGGAAAAAACCCGCGAGGCCGAACATCTTACAAAAATTCATTAACCTGTCCTGACTATATCCTTAAACATAAAAACTATTTATGGGCTTTCTCAAAGTTCAGCACTACTTTATATAAGGAAAGGGTTTATGTGTGAACACATATACTTAATGCGCTCATGGACCTTGGATAGAGAGCATGTAACATTAATTAATAAGTGTCAAAACCCTGTATTTTCAGATGGCGTGGAAGCTGACTCTATGGAAGAGGGACGAAAGATACCAGAGGGACAGTCAAACTCATAGATCGAAAACAAACTGACAACGCCATGGCCAAAAATAAAAAGACAAACAGACAAATAATAGTACAGATGACACAACATAGAAAACTAAAGACTAAGCAACACGAACCCCACCAAAAACTGGGGGTGATCTCAGGTGCTCCGGAAGGGTAAGCAGATCCTGCTCCACATGTGGCTCCCGTCGTGTTGCTTATGTTATTACAAATCCGGTAAATAGTCTAATTCGGTAGGTCACATTCGTGAAAAGGGAAGGGTATTGTAGTTACGACATAAGGAACATATCCGATATCATCTGTTAAACGGTTATTCCATAACGCACAACCAACTCGTTATGGCGTCCGTAAAATTTACGAAGGGATGATTTCAACTTCAACATTTTGAACTCTTGCTTAAATAGCAATCCTCTATCAAGGGAATCATGATAGAAAATACAAGCCCGGGAATATCGTATCAATTGGGAGATATGTACTCCGTATGCAGGCGCTGCTGGAATGTTGCTACATAGAAATGGAAAGATCACTATTGGGAAGCTGAAATCATCTCTTTTGTCGTAAAGTTTTGTTTTCAACCGACCCTCATTGTCAATTTCTAGATGTTAGTCAAGATATGAGGCAGACTTAACTGTATCTGTAGTATCCTTTATCTCTAGTTCGATGGGATAGATTCGTTCAACATGGAAGTGTTTCTGTTGAGAGAAAAACAGAAAGCTACATTGCATCTGATCTTATGTCCAATATACCAGTATAGAAGTTTCCTAATCAAGTTCAAAATTTGGACAAGTGGTTGGTTTAAAAAGGTAATATTCTATGTCTACTTAAAGTTGTTCCCAAAAATGTAGAACCCCGCACTGAAGTAATTTTCAGCAATTGCTACTTATCTGAAAAAGCAAGATGACTGTGACAATGGAACACAGTTTTTAAAAAATAGAACACTAAGATA